AGCCCCCACCACACAGGAGGCAACACAAAGTCATGATAAGCTCGAAGGGCTCGGATTCAGATCAAAGCCAAAAAAAAAATGTTTCGAGAAACGACACACGGTTGGAGAATTATTTGTGCCGGAGGATGAAAAGCCAGCACGTGGAAATGAAAACACACGCAGACAGGCAAAGAAATGCTCACTCAAAGTTCGCCTTTATACCTCTGCACGCACACACACACACACACACACACACACACACACACTTGTCAAGGAGGACAATAGCTAAAAATGGAGGATTTCTTAAAAAGGGTAAAAGGAAAAAAAACGAGTGCTTATTGTGCCTTTTAGTATTAACCATTGCTGACACCATTAAAGTAAAAATCATTATTATATTTGACACAAAATTTACTAAATCTGTCCAATAAGTCTCCTGTACTTATCTGTTGGAGAACTACACTGCAAAAAGTGTTCATCTAACCAAGTCTTTTAATATTTATTCCAGTCAAAGTGTTTTTGATCTTGTTTTGAGACTCATATGTTAAACAAGAGCAGATTAGATTATTCATCGTCCCCGCATGAAATTTTCCCTTTTTTTCAAAAAGTCTCACCAAGTGCAATTGTCTTCATGCACTGGCAGTTCATTTCACTCAATCTGAGAAGATTCAGACTATAATAGTATTCTTTACTTATTTTTAGATGGTAATTTTTCCAGTGTAATTTGGCTGATTTTTAAATTGAAAGTCTAAAGGTTTAATATTTGCAGAATCACACTGTTACTGCTTTGTTTGTTCCTTTTTCATATTTATTCTGTGCAGGGTATTAATGAGAGTCCATCAAGAAGTCAAAATAAGCACACAGTTACAAACAACATTTTGATTTGCTAATTTGCTCATTTCTGACATGTTTTTGGACTGTTGGAGGAATAAAACCCAATCAGACATGAGCAGAACACACAAACCTCCCTACAAATAAACTTATATTTAAGTAGAGAATTTGCATTTACTGCAAAAATCCAGCATGAATGCTTAATGTTGAATTTTTTTGTAGAAAAAAAGTAAAGATGGACAAACATTTTGAAATTTGCTGTAAAATTGCCCAAAAAGGTAGAAAATAGCATAAAAGTAGCTGAAATGGCTGAATCTAGCACAAAAAAAGCAAAAATAGCAAGTCTGCTAAATTAAGACGTTTGAAATAATCACAAAAAGGTGACTTTAGCTGAAGAAGCTCAAATTAACTTAAATTACAGGAAACAGCAGAGAAAAGCTTAAAAAGCTTAAATTCGCTGAAAGGATCTGATAGAAGCATACAACATTGAATAAGCAGAATATACTGTACAAAAAGAAAAGAACAAAAATTGAAAATGAAGAAAAAATAAAACTTGAAAAAAAAATAAAAAAAGGAGCTGAAAAAAGCTAAAATTATCAAAGAAGTTCAAAAAAGCAGAGCAAGAACAAAAGGTCAAAAGTACAGGAAAAGTTTTTTAATCTTTCAAACTAGTTTTTAATCTAAGGATAGTTTTTAATCTAAGGATAGTTTTTGATCTAAGGATAGTTTTTAATCTAAGGATTCTAAGGATGTTGAATAGAGCTTCATTCATTTTGAATTAGAACAAAAATGGCTGAAAAAGGCTAGATATCTCAAAACTTAGAAATTGCTTAAATACTAAAAGTCAAATCCAGAATGGTTTAAAAGCTGAAAGTTTTGATGAATTGTTGAAATAACAAAAATGTGGAATAGGAGTCAAAAATGTTCAGAAGACAAATGGTTCATCTCGATAAAGTGGCTCAATAAGATTCACGCAACAACTGTTAAAACATTTTTGACACTTAAATAAATATACTGTACACAGAAGAGCATGTTTGATATTAAAAAAATGAAACAGTGTGTTGTGAGCTACAGTACACATGGCTAATTACCAATTATTCAAAGTGGTAAATAGTTTTCTAGAGTTAAGGCGACAGCTTTAACTTCCAACCATTTAACTAGTTCATAATGTGAATTTTATTTTCCCATGACCAACATAAACCCGTTTATTGTGACAGTCTCACGCTGATAGCATAAGGTTAAGCTAAAATTTTACTATTTTTTTCTCACAGATTTTCTAAGAAGTTTAATGATCTGAACATAACAGGGCAATTTTACCTAAATCCAATCAATGGAGATACACTAAAAGGGAAGATTATTTTTTATTAAATAAATAATTGTTTTGTTGTAAAATGTATTTAGAACTTTCTGTTTTCAAGTCTTCTTCTTTTGGGAAATCAATATTTTTGTGAACTGTGGTCTTATCGTGTATAAATTACAATAAATCCATTTTGATAGAAAGACAAGTTTTTGTGAAAATGTAAATAAACATCCACCATTTTCAGGACTGTTAACCTCTCAAGTCAGATTTGTGTACTCTTTATACTTGTATAATTCTGCAAGTACAAACATTATACTCTGTTCTCTGCAGGCCAAAGCATCATTTTCCACTCTGCTCTAATTCTTTAAAAGGTAAAAAAAATAGAATAATCATAATTTGTTTTCTTATTTCATCCTTTTTAGGGTCTATTATACAGCCTTTTAATGAGCTATCATGCATTCTGAAGGTCAAACATCTTCCACCTGGCCCTGTAAGAGTTTCTAGCAGCATCCACTCCTGAGGTAACACCAGCATCAGTCACTGTGGCTCTGGACGTCCTCCTTCTCTCCTCTCCTCCCTTCTGCTCGTCTAATAAAGACATTCACACCAGACTTGTTTCAGACGGAGCTCCCATTCAGCACCGCTGTGGCTTCTCTTTGTCGCTCTGCAGATGAATCATCCAGCCCCTCACCAGAGGCTCATTGTGAACTTCAGAACACATCAGACGTCAGATTCAGGAGCCGTCAGCTCTCATTATGTCACAGCACTGTGCACGGGCATCATTTCCATCTCTTTCCCCTGTTTCCTTTTCTTTTCTTCCCTGTACGTTTTACTCAGAGACACAGGATGACTTGCTTTGCACGACTGCTTGGACAACAACCTATGAAGTCAATATATTATCTTTTATTAAATACACTGTGAAATATGATGCAGGACGTCATTTAAACAAAATGACAACGAAATAAGTCTCAGATCAGGGTTTTTTTTTGTTTGTTTTTTTTTACCACGAGTTAAATAAATAAATAGAAACTGTGTCCATGCCATTCTCTTTTCTGTGGGCATTTTTATCAGAGAAGGAAAGAATGAGAAAAAATGCATATTTGCGTTATCTTCTCGTGCTAAACCTGAAAGGTCACACTTTTATAGCTTAATAATCTATGAAAATCTAATTATTAACAATTACCAAATTTCATACATGTTGCGTTGACAATAGAGTCTCATTTCTCCTGTTTTCTAGTCGTTTTCTTTTTCTTTTTTTCTCAATCCTACAAGGTCTCTCTGATTTTCCTTTTCTTAGCTCCGGGTCTCCTCAAACGTTCAGCCCCATCAAACACGTGGGCTCTAAGCCCCGTTTCAAAAAGAGGGGGATTTAACCAAAACGTGAAATTGTAGCTCCATCTTTGGCAGCACAGAGATAAAAATATCCATCTGTGTCTAAAAATAGCCTGCTAGAAAAAAAACTGAAAGCATTTGTGGGGGTGAAGATGATGATGTTCCTAATCTGTCCTTGCTCAGATCTGGTTTTCCTCATTTTTTCAGTAATATGAACATTTCCTTTTTTCCTTCTTAGAAGACACCAAGGTCAGTGTGACCCAGAAACAAGAAAAAGGAGGAAAAGAGATTTTAAGAGGAAAAATATGCAAATTGAGGAGTTTTTTTTCCTGTTAAACTCTTTCTGATTTATTCTCCTGCTTTTTTACATTTTGTCCTGTTATTCTTCCCAGGTCACATGCAGGACACAGTGGACCCTGTGAGACACTGAAGGTTCTAACTTATTACTACTGTACTTGCACCCTCTGCTGGATAACTCACATCTTTTCTTTTCTTTTCTTTTCTTTTTTCTCTTTTCTTTTCTTTTCTTTTCATAAAACACCATTTTCAATAATCATCTTTTCCACATCTTCAGCTGTGAGTTTACCTGCCTGAATATTTATTGATGAGCTCTGAAAGGTGAAGGAGGACGATCAAGTTTTCTGTGTGTGTGTGTGTGTGTGTATGTGTGTGTGTGTGTGTGTGTGTGTGTGTGTGTGTGTGTGTGTGTTCATGTGTCAGTTTTTTAAGGAACAACTTAGAGTTTTTGTTGAAACTTGCAAAAAGTAATGATTAGCTTGACACATGACTGATTAATTTGGGAGTCAAACCAGTTAAAAATGGCTACATCAGTCATCTGACATCATGCAACACAAATGGGTTTAACTTGGCTGATTTTTACAGATTTTGAGCTATAATTTGATTTAGTGGCAGCACAAATTGATCCCTAACATTTTGTTTGA